TCATGAGAGCAGCTGGGGGCGCTGCACCCTGCAAACCCACAGCAGTCAGCTCCCATCCATGAGAGCAGCTGGGGGCGCTGCGCCCTGCAAACCCATAGGGATGGAGCTGCCCAAGGATCTGGGAGCCCACCCCTTGCAGCACTGGGCCCTGGATGTGTGACATGGAGTCATAGAAATTTCCAAGCAGCAAAGTGTTCAGGATGTGACCTGGCTGCTTCTAATAACCTATGGTCAGACGTGGGAACAAATAATGACTTAAAGTTGGAATTTATATTTAAAAGGAAAGCAGAGCATAAAAAGTTGGAAAATTTGCAGCCTAGTAATGTGGCAGAGGAGGAAAAAGTGTTTTCAGAAGAGGAATTCAAGTGGCTTGTGGAGCAACCACTTTCTAGAGAGACTAGCCTGACTAAAAGGGAGCCAGTGCTAATATCCAAGAAAATGGGAAAAAGGCCTTGAAGCCACTTCAGACATCCTGGGGGAGCCTCTTTCCATCACAGGCCCGGAGGCCTAAGAGGGAAAAATGGTGTCATGGACCATGCCCAGGGCACCAATGCCCTGTATCACCTCAGGAGGCTGCTCCCTGCAAAGCCCCTGCTTCAGCTCCAGCCTCAGCTCAAAGGGCCTGAGACACAGCTCAGGCCAACACTCTGGAAGGTGCAAGTCATAAGCTGTGGCAGCTTTCACCTGGTGCTAAGCCTTAAGGCACACAGAATGCAAGTGAGAAGGAGGCTTGGCAGCCTCTAGCTGGATGTCAGAGGATGGGTGGGAAAGCCTGGGTGCCCAGGTGGAAGCCTGCTGCAGGGGCAAAGCCCTCACAGAGAGACTCTACCAGGGCAGCGCTGAGGGGAAATTTGGGATTGGAGCCCCCAAACAGAGTCTCCACTGGGGAACTACCTAGCGGAACTAAGAAGGGAGCCACTGTCCTCCAGACCCCAGAATGGTAGATACACCAGGAGCTTGCGCCCAGCGCCTGGAAAAGCTGCAGGTAGTCACAGCTCCCAATCATGAGAGCAGCTGGGGGCGCTGCACCCTGCAAACCCACAGCAGTCAGCTCCCATCCATGAGAGCAGCTGGGGGCGCTGCGCCCTGCAAACCCACAGGGATGGAGCTGCCCAAGGATCTGGGAGCCCACCCCTTGCAGCACTGGGCCCTGGATGTGTGACATGGAGTCATAAGAGAGTGTTTTGCGCCTTGGAGGTTTAATACCTTCCCTGCTGGCTTTCAGAATTCATGAGCCCTGTAGCCCCTTTCTTTGGGCCAATTTCTCCCTTTGGGAACAGAAATGTTACTCAATGCCTGAACCACCATGGTACCTCGGGACTAAATAACTCGTTTCGATTTTACAGGCTCATAGGTAGAAGGAGATGAGTCTTGAATGAGACTTAGGACTTTGCACTTGAGGCTGGGGTGAGTTCAGACTTTGTGGGGCTGTTGGCAGGGAACGATTGCACTTTGCAATGTGAGGACATGAGATCTGGGGGGCCAGGGGAAAACGGTATGGTTTGGGTGTCTGTGCCCTCAAAACTCGTGCTGAAATGTGATCTCCAGTGTTGGACCTGAGGCCTGGTGGGAGGTGTTTGGATCATGGGGGTGGATCCCAGGAAGCATCGTTCCTTGCCTCCTCCAGCTCCCGGGGTTCCTGGCAATCCTTTTACTCTTGGCTGTGCTCACATTGCCCCGGTCCCCGCCTCCACCCTCAGGCAGCCCCGCCTCCACCCTCAGGCAGCCCCGCCTCCACCCTCAGGCAGCCCCGCCTCCACCTTCAGGCAGCCGTCTCCCGTCTGTCTGTGCCTCTTCTCCTCTTCTTATAGGGACATTGGTCATATCAAAATTAGTCCCCAACTCTACTCCAGAATGACCTCATCTTAATGTGTTTAATTGCATTTGCAAAGATACTATTTCCAAAAAAATTCATATGCTGACATTCCAGAAAAGACATACATTCTGGGGGAGGCATCATTTTTCAGCCCAGTACAATCCACTGTCTCCCCCAAATTTATGTCTGTCCCATATACAAAATAAACTCACCCCATCCCAACATCCCCCCAAATCTTACTCATTCTGGTATTGATTGTAAATCCAAAAGTCTCACCTAAATATGATGTAAATCCAGTACGGGTGACACTCCACATATGTCCCTCCTGGGAAAAATGCCTCTCCACCTGTGGACCCATGAACCGAAGAAACAAGTTGTCTCCTTGTAAAACACAAGACAGTGACAGGAATAGGATAAATATTCCCATTTCAAAAGGAATATATTCAAGAAAAGAAATGGAGAGGTCATCAGTTTATGGGAAGTTTGCAACCCAGCAGGGAATGTTCCTCCCTTAGACTCTACAGCCTGAGAATCCTTGTCTGTGGAGCCACACTCTGTCCTGTGGGCCTCCAGGGCAGCGATCCATCCACTCTGGTCACTGAATCTCCATCCGTCCTGTGGGCCTCCAGGGCAGCGATCCACCTGCTCTGCTCACTGCATCTCTAGCTCTGCCCTAAGGTCCATTATTCCTTCATTCCATCTTATTGCTCTCCTCTGCAGAACAAGTTGGCATTGTTTCTGCTGATATACAATTCTCAAGGCCCTGACAGGTCTCCTATGTAGCTACTGGGGCTATCACCACTAAACATGAGGGTTCTCGACAGATCCTTTCTGGACAACTCCATGTCTATTCCTAATTTCTACTGAGGTGGCTGAAGGAGCCATGAATCTCATGCCTAATTTCTTTAGCAAACAGTTGTCCGGCCACAGGCTTGGCCCCTTTTCCTGTGCACAGTTTCTGGACGGGCTGAGAATTTCCCAAGTCATCATGGAGGCTCCTTTTTGGTGAGCAGTTCCTTCCTCCATTTTATAGTTTTCTTCTCGCATTTTAGTACAAGAAGCAAGGGGAAATCAAGATATGCCTTTCACATTTGGCTTGGAAATTTCCTCAGCTTAACACCCACATTTATTTTTTGTGATTTCCATCTTCCTTTCAACAGTAGAACATAGTTCAATCAAATTATCTGCATTTTGTAAGAAGGGTGGCCATTGCTCCAGTTTCCAATAGCTCGTTCCTCATTTCCACCTGAGGTTCCACAGGTTTAACATCCATATTTTACCAATAGTCTCCTCAAGATGATCTAGATTTTCTCTACCTCACCTCTAAAAATTCATCCCCCCTGTATGCAATGCCCAGATCCAAAGCCGCATCCATGCTGCTGGGTGTCTGTTGCAGTAGCCCCCCTCTCTCAGCTCCCAGCCTGCACTCGTCTCCTGGGGATGCCACAGCACGTTACCAGGAACCTGGACGGCTTAAAGCCACACAAAGGAATTCTTCCACAGCCCTGGAGGCAGAAGCCCGAGGCCCGGGCGCCTCTGACGCTGTGGGGGGAGCTGAGGCCCGGGCGCCTCTGACGCTGTTGGGGAGGACCTGCTCCCCTCTCCTGGGCTCTGGTGCTTTGCGGATCTGCGGCGTGATCTGGTGATTCCTCCCTGGAGCTCCATCTTGCAGTCTCTACCCTCATCCTCACACGGCGCTCTCTCCTGTGCGCTCTGTGCTGTCCACACAGCTCGGCTTCTTCCCAGAGCAGGCTCCCCACTTGCACCTGCCCTTCCTGCCACAGTGAGCAGCTCCTTCCCAGGGCCCCAGCCCATGACCCACTTCATCCATCACAGTCATGGCTGGGCTGTATCCCCTTATGTAAAATTCACTTCCTTAGCAGACATCTGGGCCCGGGGGCATTGTCCCCGCTCTCCTGAACTGCCGTGCTCCTTCTGAAGGATATACTGGTGTGTGAGAGAAACAGCATATGATTTTTCTCTTTTCTCTGTCCCTCAGGCTGGAGTGCAGGCTCACTGTAGCCTCAACCTCCTGGGCTCAAGCAATCCTCCCACCTGAGCCTCCTGAGTAGCTGGGACCACAGGTGCATGCCACCACGTTATTTATTTATGTTTAGCAGAGATGGAGTCTCACTATGTTGCCCAGGCTGCAAACTCCTGGACTTGAGCGATCCTCCCACCTCGGCCTTCCAAAGTGCTGGGACTACAGGTGTGAGCCTCTGCACCCGGCTGGCAGGGTATGACTTCCAGCAGAACAGATGCACCTCTTAGGGGAAGGATCTGTGACTCTGACAAACTCCCCAGCATTTCTCTTTCCTGTCTCCACAGCAGGATCAGTAGTCAACGATGGTGAAGATGAAAAGACCACACCTGTGCGGGCTCAGCCTCGTGGCTAAAACATGGAGCTGGCCCAAGCACCGCTGCCTTCAGCTGTGGCCCTCCGTTTAACTTAGGTGCTTCCGTGCCCATTAATCACAGCTCTGGTGATTTGAGAAACGAGAGCCACGACGTCTGAGAAAACCCGGGTCAGGTAAGTGACCTGCCTTACCAGCAAACCATGCTGGTCAGACAAGCCTGTGATGTGTCTATTAGCATGAAACAATGCCTTCTACTTACTACCTCTAACTGTAACTAGTGCCCTGATACTGCACTTCAGGAAATGTTATGAAGAACAATAATATTTTCCTAAATTTTAAGAACAAATATGAGTGCTTAAAAATGAATGTGCTTTGTGAAGAAATAGCCAGATTCTGTGAGAAACAATAAGAGTGAAGAAATGTATCCTTACGAATAAAGAAGATAAACACAGCTCCCAGCCGCCTTTCAAGGTTAACGCGGGGACCCCTTGGGTCTGGGAGTGGGCGAGGGTGTGTGCAGACATCACGTGGTGGCCATGGGAAGGCGGTCGTCACAGTGGGGGCTTCCTTCCTGCCCGTGCGATCAGATGGAAACAGCTTGTACTGCTCTGGCTCTGGGGACAGCGGGGGACATTGCTCGTCCATCTCTGTCACTTTGAAGGCAGCAGGACACTTAGGGCCCCATCCGAAACACCCCTGGCTCCTGATGGCCGCAGCACTCGGATCCCATTGTCAAGCACAAACAATCCTTAAAAATCCCTCAGTGAGGACTTCGCCATCTGGTAAAACTGAAAGTTTGAAACATACTAAGAGTAAATAACTGACTTATTTTTTCTTTCTATCAACCACAAAACACAGAGTGTCTGACTTTTGGGTTCACTGGGACACCCAGGCAGTGTGGGCTCTGGGGGCCAGAAAACAAAGAATCTGGTGGAAATTTTGTTTCCTTTTACCCACCACGCCACACGCACGTCAGGACCTGCTCCTGCAGCCCCCCGTGATTTTCACTGATACTATCTGACAGGCCCATCTGCTCCTCTCAAATGGGCTCTAACAGGAGTGTCAATCAGGAGTCATGTTTATCGGACACCCACTCATTAATTAATCAACTATTTGACTAGCTAATTTGCTCCCAACAGGCATCAGGGACGCCCAGAAAGCCACCTGTCAGGAGGACATGCAGAGGGAGAACCAGCTGTGGCCCAGGCGCTCTGCTCCGACTGGCCTGGGGGCAGATGGCCTGTGTGCAGGAGCGTGGGGTCTCAGAGGTGCCTGCACTGCACCTGCCCTCCAGCAGGCCTGGCGAGTTTAATAGGAAACACCAAAAAGTGAAGGCACCTGCAGGCTCAGAGCCGCGAGTGCCATGCCACGTGGGCAGTGACTGTGTGGACGCCAGGTCAGACCTGGTTTGAAGGTGGGCCGGCTTCTTGTTCTGGCAGAGCACACAAGAATCTGGTAACATCACTTTGGAGAGAAAGCATTAGCGATTGAGTGGGGGTGGGGAGAGTTTTTAAAATTAAATTTTATTCATCTCCAGATTAATATTTCAATCACTGGCATACATTGCTCTAAGTCTTAAAATTTAATTTTTAAATATTAAACATGATCGACAACATTTAATTTGATAGGCCACGTTTGTCATTTGCTTTATATTTTGTTTGTAACCTATGTGTTTGCCTGCGTTCAGCGCATAGATATGAACCATGGAATGTTGACTGGTGAAATGAAATCATCTCTGTTGTAGAGACAAACATTTTCCAACCTTTCAACACTTCATGGGTTGAGTTTGAGCAAAAATTCATAGTTTTTTGAAAATGATGTTAACACATCAAACTACCAGTAGATTGATACTCGGTTTTCAGCAGTTTAATTACAGATATATTTAAAATATTCATGCATTACAGCTTAACTTAAATAATTTATTCAGGACTTCTTTGAAAAATTTAACTTTGAGCGATAATAAAACTTCAACCAAATGTGCATTTTGCAGACTTTCAGGCCCTTGGGTATAAACTCGAGGGCAGGTTGAATACAAATATTCTCAAAAAAGACAAGACATAGAAAGATCAAAATGTAGATTATTAGATCAGAATTCACATCAAACAGTTAAGAGAGATGATTCCGAGCTGAGGATAAAATACCTCACATGTGCCCAGGAACAATATTGCTGCAGTTTTTCCAAAGTCATTGATCCCTCACTGCTGGGGTCAAATGCCCAAAACTAGTTCCCCCGATGTACAATTTCCATGTGTGTGATTTGACAGCTTCACTGGCATTTATATATTTTCTTATGAAGAAAATATCTAGTAAAGATGGACTATTCTTCAATAGAATGCATTGTTTCAAAACTCCACTGTAAGTAGTGATTCCAGACTGTCCCCATCTCAGCCAGGGGTAAGAAAAGTTATGAGTAGGTGCAGGAGCAAATATCAGATGGCAACAAAGTCCACTACTTAACTTCATCAGTCGAAGAAAAACGTGTTTGAAAATCATAAAACACAACTATATGATAGGGTAATCTCAGACCCAACTAAATTCTCAGAAAACCTGTGAACTAATTGGTATTTAACGTTGTAAAGGTTTTACACCCTTTGTGAATTTCTGAAGGGTGCATTTCTTAATTATGTGATGAATCAGCTGTATAAATAAGTAAATCCAGCCCTTCTCAGGAATCCTCTCAGACCGTATTTGAACGTTGTGTGTGGTTGCCCTGGCTCCCACACCTACCGTTTATAGGGAGGGGATCTCAAGTGCACTTGGAATCTTGTGTGGAGCACAGAATGTTAGGTTTACTTACGAAGTCACGGAGCAATTCCCAGGGACGGGTGAAGAGACATCCACGCTTCAGAAAACCAAGGTCAGTCTGCCTCTCGAGGACGTGGGAACACGGGAACTCAGCTGTCGACCAAATCAGAGCTATGTCTTAGAGCCCTGCTCTGAGCTATTGAGCGTAACTGGATAAATGTCAGAGCTATGTCTAGTAGCCCTGCTCCGAGCTATTCCACGTAACTGGGTAATTAAAGCCGTGTCCCAGGCTTGTCTCCCCACATTATTTGGTGCCCTCTGGTAAGTACGGCACATTGGATGCTGCGGATTTTCCTAAATATGTTCACAAAAGCCAGATCATAACTAGCTTTCTGGGTTCATTTTCCTGACTTAGAACACCTCTCTTAGCTTGGCCTTGGTGAGGAATAGCATGAGAGCAAATGTTTCTCAGACATCCATGCTGCACCAGGCCCTGGGCACTTTACAATGATTATCCCAATTGCCTTTCACAAAAACCCTGTGGGATAAAAATTGTTCCCCCCATCCTTGCAGGGATAAGACGCCCCCGTGCATTGTCTGGAGGCTTCAGCAAGACCACGTGATGGTGGATTCAGCCCCCAATCAGGGGCCCTGGGCCACACGGGTCTGTGATGCCAGCACCTCTCCCAGGCGGGATCCAGCGTGTGTGGGAATACCAAGGAGATGTCCATGCTCCAGGCCATGCGGTGACGGTCAGGTCACCCACTGACACCAGAGATTAGTGAGCCCATCGCTCTTCAGAGCCTGACCATGAGCACCGTGTGGGCCCTCTGAAAACAAATGAGCAAATATCAGATGGCAACAAAGTCCACTATTTAACTACATCAGTCAGAAGGAAAACGTGTTTGAAAATCATAAAACACAACTATATGATAGGGTAATCTCAGACCCAACTAAATTCTCAGACAAACTTTGAAGTAATTGGTAATCAAACAAAGTAACTGGGAATCAAACAAAATAGCCTGTATTTAAAAGACAATCTTCATGGATTCGCCCAAGAGTACCATTTAATTATGTTCTCACTGACCGAACAACATCGGAAGTGAAACCTATGAAACCGTTCATCTTCTTTACGTGGGATTCTTTCACTTCCTCCTGGAACGCGCTGCCTCTGTGGGTCCGCGGGCGTGCACCTGTGTCTGCATGGTGAGTGTGGAGGAGCACGCTGGGAAGACAGCGAGACGCGGAGACAGGCAGGGACACGAAATCCTCTCGTTACCAAGTCCAAAGTCACTCTTTTGAATAGCAGGAAAAATGTTGTGTGAACTGTTCTTGCCAAGTGTATTTTTGGCCTTTATTTTTAGTATTTTTAGGAGGTACAATTTTTACAAGGTTTTATCCTTAACTTAATTTCTAAGACAATCTCTTCTTTCCCACACCCGTTCCCGCCACAGTCAATGAGAAGGCAACATGCTGGGAAGTCTCTCATCCACGCTCAGCTCTGTGGGGACGTTAAAACACCCGCCCACCAGAACGCTGGTCTGCGGCACACAGCACGGGAGCCCTCACCCTGGACACCGAAGGCTCCTGTGTTCTCTCACTGTGCCCTTAACCTTAGATGCACAAGATTACCTGGGACAAGTTAAATAGCTGAGATTTACATGGGAACTATGTAGTCACACATGCAATTAAAACTATATGGGTAGGCAGTAACAGAACAAAAACATGACCTAAAGCTTTCCGATTGATTAATGAAAAAAAAAAAAAGATTAGAAATCCCTCAGTCAGACAGATGCGAGAGAGAGGTAAATAAGAAACAAAGAAAAGCAACCATGAAAGGTATGAGGAAACGCATCATCTACCAGGACAGCAACGGTGCGACGGTAATGACCTTCAGAGAGAAAAAATCAATGAACTGCTTCAATACACGTGTGGTAATAATTTTAGGAATGTACCATACAGATCAATTGCATATGTAATACGTGATGTGTAATATAATCCATACGTAGACAGAGAGATCTAATTATGTTGAACTGATAGATTTATCTGGAAAATGTATCTAATTCTAATGAAAGCCCTAAGTGACTTTCATAGAACTTTATAAATTTGGTCTAAAATTCACATGGAGGGTGGAAACACCAAGAATATCAAAGAAATAAAAGGGTAAGGAGAGCAAACAGGGAGCATCTCACAGGTGACCGGGGGCTGCAGGACACGCCGCGATGATGGAAACCGTTTCCCAGAGTGAAAGACCCTAGACAGGAAGCGCCGCTGGAGACACAGGCGGCCGAGAGCCCGACCGCAGGGGAGGTTCCAGTGGGGCCGGTGCCCATCAGCAGCGCTGAGCCACCACTCGCCCGTCACACAAAGGCGACTCCCCGGTGGGTCAGCAGCGTGAACATGGACCTGAAAACTGTGAAAACATCCAGACTCTCTGAACAACACAAATGGAATGCAAGAAATAAAGCACAAAAGGTGCAAAGCTTAACAGAAAAGATTTTAATTTAAAAAATCTGTGACACAAGACACTACAACTAATTGAACCCCTGCCTCCAACACAGACATCCGTGACCCACTTCGTGTAACGTAATTATAGAGACAAACTCCCCACCTCAGTGAGGAACAGGACAAGCTGCCTGGAAGGAAATGAAAGGAGAATAGAAACCAGTAATCTGCATGAAAAGAACCCAGAATGGCCGATTAAGACGTGGAAGGATGCCCAGGCCCATGGGAACGAGGAGGCGGAGGGTTGACGTGATGGGGAAACACGAGGCCTGGTGCCAGCTTCTCACCACAATAGAGACGGTAGGTGCTGGCGAGGACGGGGCCACGGACTCGGAGGCTGTGCAGACTGACTGCAGATGAGCTGGGAATGTGCTCACCCCACGAGCAAACTCACAGCTCAACTGTGGGTGTCTGTTCTTAAGTCTTTCCTGCTCATTTGCTGTAAGATGAAAACGAGGGAAGATAAACTTCACCTGACATCTGTGAATGCAAACCGGCCACCATTCAGACCACGAAGTGGAGTGACATTTGATAAAGGGATCCACACTGACCAGCATGGGTGCGTCTCCCAAACAGAAGCCGCCGATGGCACCGCAGTTCCGTGAGGACTCGTGTGCCACAGCCTCTGCGGTCTGTGCATGTTTAAAGCACAGAGCACACAGGCATATCTTCATCTTACACCTGCGTGCTTTGTGCTTTCATAAAGATGGGGCAGAGTTAGAGAGCGGGACAGAGAGAGACAGAGACAGTGAAACAGACGGAGAGAGGGGGGAGGGGCAGGGACAGGTGCACTGGTGGCACTGGGGCACACGTGCGTGTTGGGACAGCCGATACCAGCTTCAGGTCAGAGGTGACCTGTTAACCTGAAAACCTTGGGACTGCAATGTCCCCCCGAGACTGGGAGGGAGCCAAGTGACTAAAGAATGACTCAGACAGGTGCAGCTTGGCGGCTAGATGAATTTATGAGGATGTACGTGGGGGCGCTCCTGGGCGGTGGTGGGTCAGCCCTAGAGAGCCGTGCTACCTCCCATATCTAAGCTGCTTTAAACCTAATTTTCTGGCTCTGCTGACTGCATTCGCACGTTGACCCTGCTTTCCTTGGTGGGTTCTCAGGGACACCTGCTCCTCAGCTGGGCACCACAGCCTTCCCTCGCCGCCTGGCCTTCTGAGTTCCAGCAGCGGACACACACCTGGCGGGGGAGACCCATGCAGGGTGGGGAGGAAGAGTGGGTGCTGAGGGTTTGGCTGTCTCTAATGCCCTGCTCCTTTACAATTAGAGATCTGAAACAAATGAGACTCTGTTGATACCCAATTATTTGTTTGTTGGTCAAATGGATGTTCAGTAGACATAGATATATGATTTAATCTATATTTCAAGTTTTCTATAATTTAAAAAATACACTGCACATTTTACAAAGTAAAAAAAGTTTTTAAAAAGTCAAAAAAAAATACCTTTTACAAGGTAAACACACACACACACACACACACACACAGTTTTGTTTTGTTTTGTTTTGTTTTAGACAGGGTATCACTCTGTTGCCCAGGCTGGAGGACAGTGGTACGATCTTGGTTCACTGTAACCTCCACCTCCCAGGTTCCCCTGCCTCAGCCTCCCTAGTAGCTAGGATTACAGGCACATGCTACCAAGCCCGGCTAATTTTTGTACTTTTAGTAGAGATAGGGTTTCACCATGTTGGCCAGGCTGGTCTTAAACTCTGACTTCAAATGATCCATCCTCAGCCTCCCAAAGAGCTGGGATTACAGGTGTGAGCCACCACACCCGGCCTACAGTAAGATTTTAAAAAGTCAAATAATATGCCTAAAGTTGCTTCAAAACTATGAATGATATTACAAACATATGCAAATGATAACTTACTGTTCAAGATAGAAATGATCAGATTGGATTAAAAAATCTATAACAACACACTAAACAGAAGACAAAGTGAACATCACCAGCATCAAGGTAATCATGTACGAAATACACTTTCTCTTTTCTAGTAGCAAACCAGTGTATTGAAATAAAACTACTCAACTCCGCCATCCTAGTACAAATGCAGTCATAACCAGCATGTGAACTCATAGGGATGGCTGCATAAATAAAACTTTACTGACAAATACACCAGGGCTTCCAGATGTGGCCTGCAGCCCATGGTTGGCTGACCCCTGCCCAGAGCCAAAGATGCCCTGGCTGCATGACTGAAACTGCCTTTGCAAAAACTATAACTGAGGAAATGATGACAGTGAAAGAGATCAGACCTGACTGACTCCTTCTTGCTTCTAACTTCTAAGCTGTGCTTATTCATGCCTGGCATAGGCTGAACTAACGTCAGGCAGACATTTATAGTTCAACTTTGAAACAAATATGAAAACAGCTCTTTCCCAAAATAAACCTCCTTCTTGCCTGTGGACCAGTTTGCCTTTGCAGGACTAACAAATTAGCTGCAAAGATGAGAAATTACGATTTAGGGGCCATGGAGCCTCCGGCTGCAGGGTCTGAATCTCTGCAAGTTGCTCCTGGGAATAACATCACTGCTGTGAAACCTAAGATCAGAGAGGTTTTGCAGACCCTGAGTTCCCATGCAGACACCAGCTAACGCCACCCACACCGCGAATCTGGCTCAACCAGTTCTGTGATCCCACCCAGAACAGAAGACAGCAAGAAGAACCCACTTCCAGCTCTTATGATTCCATCTCCAGCCTGACCAATCAGCACTCCCCACTTCCCAAGCCTCACCCACCAAATTATCCTTAAAAACTCTGACCCCTCCCCTGGTTTCAGGGGACACTAATTTGAGTAATAATAAAACCCTGGTCTCCTGCACAGCCGGCTCTGTGTGAATTATTCTTTCTCTATTGCAATTCTTCTGCCTTGATAAATCGACTCTGTCTAGGCAGAGGGCAGGGTGAACCCGTTGGGCGGTGACATTAGCGACTCGAGGGCATCCCTTCACGGCTGTGGAAAAAAGCCAAGTTCTGGCTGTCACTGCCCTTCCACAAAGCGTATTCTTTGGAAGTTCCCACCACGAGAAACAGAAGCCCCATGTGCCAAGGGTCTTGCAAAGACAACTGCATCTTTGCGACTTTTTTCAGGGGAATATAATTAACACTGGGATCTTCTGACAAACTGGGACAATCTCCACAATGGTAGAAGAAAAAGAAGACAATTTTATGTTAGAATAAACACTAAACCAGAATACGACATGCATCACAGGCGACTTGCTAAGAGAATGCAGAGACAAGAAACCTCACCTTCACATGGCCAGCAGGTGCAGCCACCACACTCATTCTCAGGTGGGCGAGAACTCGGACTCAGGTGAGAGGACACCACGGCACCATTTGCCACTCATAGCTCACCCCAGATTTGTCTGGCAATTGGGATGGCCACCATTAGTTAACTGGTTTTATCTGGAAGGAAAAATAAACTCCTATCTTTACAACAGGAGGTGGGTTTGCAACTTTGAGGCCCTGCCAGCTGACTCTAGGCCCAAACCTCCCAGGGAACCTGGAGCTGCCTTCCTGGAAGACTGTTTCAAATGGATGGCTCCCAAGTCCTTGAGAAAGACATTCCTGGGCTGTAAAACTGTCACAAAGCTTATTTAGCTTTTAAAAAGAGTTGTACACATTTCAAAGAGACAAAGAACTTTCAATTACAAGTTTGACAGTAAATGCTCTGAGAAAAGGTTCCAGGGCTCTCTCCTGTTAATACAGGAAGAATTACACCACTTACTTTTAATTTGTATTTTCCCTTACTTTTTACTTGCTCTTTTAGGAAACTGGAGTCAAGGAATTCACACTTCAAAAAAAGGTGATTGACTGATTGATTGATTGCTGACATGCTGGAATCCAATAGTGCTTGACCCACAGTTTTTCCTATGAGCAACTGAGCATCTCTGTCCTCTCCGCCAGCTTCCTCAGTTCCATCCAAATTTGTCAAAGCTGCAACCTGCCAGGACCTCTTCCAGGAGCCTGGAATATGTCCCTAAAGAAAATCAGAGCTCACCTCCGCCTTGGGAGCTGAACAGTCAACAATGACATGAAAAGTAAAAGTCAGATGATGCGTGCTACAGGCACGGAAGCAGAGCAGGTTACAGGGGCCAGGACGCCTTGGCTCAGGAGCACAGGATGAAGCTTCATCACCAAATGGGGGCGGTGGGGCAGGAAGGTTTCCTTGAGGGGCAGAGACCTGAGCTTACGCCGGAAGGTCAGGGTGAGGCGTCTGGAGGGACAAGCAGAGCAGGGTCCACAGGAAGAGCGCGGCTCTTTCTCCGGCCGAACCAGGAGTCGCTCAGCGCTCTGATCTATGGAGTAACCGGATCCCTCACGGCTCAACTGAAAGCAGACACGGACTCCAGGGCAAGGCCAGGTGGGACCAGGGAGAACCTCAGAGGCCACCACTGCCACCCGCCAGGGAGGCATGGATTGGACTAGGCTGGGCCACGCTGGCGGCCCAGGGGGCGCGGGGGCCTGGCCGGGCTAGTCAATTGTGAAGATAAATCCAGCAGGTAGGAGGTGAGCATCAGAGAAGCCAAGAAAGTGCCCAAGGTCTGCCAGGAGCGATGGAGCCGCCTCTGCCCCTGGAGGGGAGGAGTCCAGGCTGGGTTTGAATACGTGGACTCTGGATGGCGGCAGCTGAGGAGCTCCTGTCCCGAAGGCCAGGCTGGAAATCGCCTCTGGATTGGGAGCAGCCTCGGCTGAGGCCTAAGCCCAGGCCTCTGAGGTCCGCAGGGAGGGGCTGTGGCGGGGAGGGGAAGGGGCTGGGGACCAGGTCCAGGGAAGAGAGGGACGCAGAGGGCCCAGCAGGTCCGGGTACCAGCCAGGGCTCCTCAGAGGACGGGAAGCACAGGCGGTGCAGGCACGAGGCGGTGCTGACGGGAGCCGATCCACATCACCATGGAGACCCCTCTGCAAGCTGGAGAGCTGGGGGAGCCTGGGGAGTCATTCAGCCCGAGTCCAGAGGCCCGAAAACCAGGAGCTCCGGTGTCCGAGGGCAGGAGGAGCCTGATGCTGCGGCTCAAGGAGCGAGAGGAAAAGCTCAGCCTTCACGTGGGCCCAGAGCGCCCGACCCAGGGAGGGGCAGCTGCAGAGTGAGAACTGCGCATGCTCTCAGGACAACACGCCCAGTCGCAGCCAATCACAGCATCCAGGCGTCAGCCAGTCACAGCAGCTGAATCTCAGCCAATCATAGCTGCTGAATCTCAGCCAATCACAGAGGCTGTGTCTGGGCCAATCACAGCAGCTGGTTCTGACCCAATCGCAGTCACTGAGCCTCAGCCAATGGCAAGGTCCCGGCTCTAGCCCTACGAGGCCCCTCGCGCCCACCCGCCTGTCTGCTTCCTGAGGCCGCTTCCTTTCCACCATCCAGGCTCCCGGCCCTGGGGCAGCCCTGGTGGCTCTGAAACTGGATCTGGGGCTCTCCATGGAGAGTTGTTGTTTGCTAAATTGAGCTCTGTTGAATTCAGTTTTTCTAAACTTTTTTTGTTTGTTTTTGAGACAGAGTCTCACTCTGTCTCCCAGGCTGGAGTGCAATGGCGCGATCTCGGCTCATTGCAACCTCCGCCTCCCAGGTTCAAGCGATTCTCCTGCCTCAGCCTCCTGAGTAGCTGGGATTATAGACACCCGCCACCAGCCCAGCTAATTTTTGTATTTTTAGTAGTGATGGGGGGGGTTTGCCATGTTGGTCAGGCTAGTCTCGAACTCCTGACCTCAGGTCATCCACCCGCCTCGGCCTCCCAAAGTGCTGGGATTATAGGCGTGAGCCACCTAAACTTTTTAACTATGGTTATGAGTGACTTGCTGCACAGAGCCTGGGACATGGGGGTGGGAGGTGGAGCTGAGGGGGTGGGGCTGAGGGGAGGCAGGGTTCTTTGGAGGTGGGGCCTAGGCGAAGTGGGGCCTAGGGGAAGTGGGTACTAGGGAAGGTGGGGCTGAGAGGGTGGGGATGATGGGAGGTGGGGTTCTTTGGAGGTGGGGCTTAGGGGAGAAGGGGCCTAGGGGAGGTTGGGCTCAGGGGAGGTTGGATTGACGGGGTGGGGCTGTTGGGAGGCAAGGTTCATGGGAGATGGGGTCTGTGGGGAAGACAGGGCCTAGGGGAGGCGTGGCCCAGGGATGGCAGGGCTGATGCGAAGTCGGGCCTGTGGAGAGGTGGAGCCTGTGGGGATTCCGGGGGCCTAGGAGAGGTGGGGCTGGTGGGAGGCAGATCCTTGGGAAGGCAGGGCCCAGGGAAGGCGGGGCTGGCAGTGGCCTGGGCCAGCGTGTCTCGCTGAGAAACTGGCGAGTCGAAAGTCCACGGCCTCAGTGTGTGATGAGCCCACAACTCCAGCAGGTCCTGGACCCGCACAGTGTTCCACACCAAGCAAACACCAGTTAGGTCTTCACAGTCCACACTGCTTACAGCCAGGCCCTGCATGGATTCATACGTGTACACTCGAGTTAAGTAGTCTAAGGTGGGCTAGAGGTCAAGCCTGGTCTGTGAGCCAAGCCTGTTTTCCAGGTGGGCTGTGTGTGCATGGGACCACGGAGGGGAACCTGGGAACGTTGTGCTTATCTTTAATATTGGAAACCTTGGTGCCAAAGTACCATCTTCAAGGCCCCCACAGCATGACCTGCACCCGGTGGTTGCCACTGGGCCTGTTTTGTTTTTGCCTGTGCTATGCAGTCTTTGAGTTTTGGGACTCGATGTTAAAGCAGCAGGGAGAATGTCTGAGAGCTGCTCTAGGAGAGCATCTTGAACAATAGGCCCCTGTGTGTCTATTCATCCAGCTCATTAATTGTTCTATTAGCTACATCCTTCGTGGCCTTCGAGTCTTTTTTTTTTTTTTTAGACAGAGTCTTGCTCTGTCGCCCAGGCTGGAGTGCAGTGGCACGATCTCGGCTCACTGCAATCTCTGCCTCCCAGGTTCACGCCATTCTCCTGCCTCAGCCTCCCCAGTAGCTGGGACTACAGGCGCCGCCATCACGTCCAGCTAATTTTTGAATTTTTAGTAGAGATGGGGTTTCACCGTGTTAGCCAGGATGGTCTCGCTCTCCTGACCTCGTGATCCTCCCGCCTCGGCCTCCCAAAGTGCTGGGATTACAGGCGTGAGCCACCGTGCCCTGGGCTTTTTTTTTTTAAATTGGCACTGGGGACTTACAAAGACAAATCCCATCAGCTCTCCAGAAACGCTTGCATTGCAGGGTATCCTGGGAACAGCCTCTGTCCCAGGGGCTCCCCCATGACTTCTGCACCGTGGCTTCACTAATCCCGTAAAGGGTTTCGGGGCAGCAGTTTTGTCATTTGCCTTCCCAGCTACAACAGGACCAACAGGGTGCTGTGCCTCCTGGGGGAAGGATCTGCAGACAATAGTCAGAGCTACCCCAGGCTTCGCGGAGCCTCTGAAAACACAAACCCGAAAGGCATCATGCCCTCCTCACATTCCGGTGGCTGCTGATGGTCAAGCCTCCCGACCACAGACGGATCTGTTCAGCACGCTTCTCCCTGGCTCCGTCTGCTTCTTTCTAGGACTTTAAAGTGATGAGGCTCCAGGCAGTAGCATTCTCTACCACGCTAAATAGAGACTGGTGATTATCTTGATCGTGACAGTTCTGACTGGGCTGTCTGCTTGTGTGTCCACCCCGCACACGGTCCTCCTGTGCGGTGTCCTCTGCCAGGCTGCTCCCCTCACAGCTCGGATGCCTGGAAGCCTGTGACGTCTTGACTATTCGCTGAGGGCGCTCTACCCAGAATCCGAATCCTGGGAAAAACTAAATGGGCAGCTATGGTATTGGCTCCTGCCGCATGTGAGGACACGCTTCTCCCAACACTCAAGTCTGTTGTTAAGCAACAAAGAGAGGAGGGAGACATCAGGGAGGAGCCCCCATTGGCCGTCTCATTGCAGCATCTGGGGGCAAATCAGGGGGGCAGTCAGGCCCAGACTCTCTCCCCCATCCCAGTGCCGGGCCTCAGTGCCCTCGGGACCTTCATGGGACGTGGTGCTCAGGTCTTCCCCATGTGCATGTTTTGGGAAAAACAGTCCCGGTTGTGCAAGGGTGGGGTGATGGTAGAAAGGCTGGGATTTGAGAAACAGACATCAGTGTTCAGGCAGAAATTAAGTTGGGTCTGCAGTGCGATTTCATGCTCCAGAGATGTAGGGAGCATTTGGACCTGAGCTCGTGGGCATTTTACTTTGACAAACCTAGTGCCTCAGATGATGCAAACTCCTTGTATCTGGGTCCTCACACTTACTGGAATGCGTGCTTTTGCCTTTCATATGTGGAAGGCAGATAGTCAGGAACCGGCTGAGCCTCCAGCCCATGCCAGGTCTGGTGACTGGGCCGTTATCAATGCTCACCCCACCGAGTCTCCAATCACAGAAGGAAACATCAGGACACCAGAGGCCACATTTAAATCATTGTTTATTGATGCTTCAGGGAGCCTTTCCTAGGTGTAGGATAAGCTGATTTAATTAGACTACAGACTGGAAAATATCACTGTCTCACCCAAAGACTTTGATCTTAAATTTAGGCTTTGCCAAAATTTATGTTTTGTAGCTAAAATAAATACAGGTTTGGCAGACTACGTCCCTCAAAAGGGATGAATCAGCCAAGAAAAGTGCTTTTCCTTTGTTTGGTTTCCTGAAGCAAGTTTAATGAGTTATTCTATTTGTGTTTATCCTGATGTGCCTGGGAATGAAAACAGAAACAGGAAAATGACATTTAATGAGCAGAGGAATCTGTCTAAAGTGAAATGGCCAAGGGTGTTCTGTGGAAACATCCTAGGGAAGCTCATAGTAAAACGACCAGCACATGACATCTTCCGTGTTTGCATAGTTTGTGTTTCTAAAATGCATTCCACCCACTTTTACAAACCTGGCCCATTTTACATTAGCTCATCTCATAGAGCACAAGTGAAAAGCCAAGTGGAAAGTTCTACTTCTGGAAGGAATGTCAAAGGATGCAAAAGACCTTCGTCTTTATGTCAGCACCAAGAGAAATCCCAATAATATGAAAATGATCGTCCTGTTTAGGAATCCCAGGGGTATGAGGAGCCTTGAACATGGTCGTGGGTGTGGGCGGGAGGTGAACATGGCTCTGGCCATGGGTGGGAGGTGAACACCACCCTGGGCTTGAGTGGGAGGTGAACATTGCCCGTCACAGTCCAAGGTGACTCACTGGCTCAGGAGGAGGCCAGAAGAGATGTTGGTAAGGGTGTGGGCTGAAAGCTGGAAGGCCACAGTCAGCAAAACCATGACTTCCACCTGACAGCTCTTCCCACCCACTCCGTGTGACTGAGGAAGCCCCTCCCTGAGGCTCCTGGACCAAGGACTGCAAGGCTCCAGCAGGAAGGAGCCACCAGGGGATTTCGTGGCCCCACCCCCACCCCACCCAAGGCTGGTCAGAGCACTG